CATGCATACATTCATGTAATACTATTGATTGTAGGCTTGCCAGTAATGTTTATTTTATGATCATACTCCTCCACTAATTGTACTCTCTTCCCTTTCCTTTCCTTCTTTCTTCTGCCCTCTCTTCTCTTATAGAGCTCATCAATCCTTCCTATATATGCTGCACGGTTTGCTTTGAATGGAACATTTTTAGATTTAAGCCTCGTCAATGATACCATCATGGTAATGATAACACCTATCACTTATTTTTATGATCATCATCATTGTTGTTATTATTATTATCATCATTATTATTATTATCATCATCATCATCATCATCATTATTATTATTATCATAATTATTTTATTTTTAGTTGTGTAAAGATCGTCCTTCAAAGATGGCTGCCGCTTGGCAAGTTGGTGTTCATTATGAAATACAGTGTTCTCTTGATCCCATTGCTCTTATGACTGATGGCTCTAGCCCTATATTCTATGATATATGTATCCTAAGAGATAGTACTTATACTCAACTAGTTTTATGGCCTTAATTTAGAGGGTGTATGTATTGAATCATATGTATATGTACCTTAATTATAATATGTTGCATAAGATATCAAAGATGGTAATATGTTGGTGCCCATTCCAGTCTTAATTAGTGGTCATCGTGACAATAATGGTGTCCTTGTTAATGAAGGTATGTGTAAATGAAAGTGTGTTGATACAATAATAATAATTATTATTATGTACACTATCCTATCAGTGTAGTAATAGGCAGTATATAATTAATACATGTTAGTTGTGATTATTTACTTTCATTACATGTAGTGTTTATTGATTGTGTTTATTTTAGGTGATGATAGCTCTCAGTGGCAGTTTGTGAGACGTTTCTATACCCACCAGTCAGTCACTGGTACTCCATCATATCTTGAATCCACTGAAATCAAGTAAGTTTGGAATTATCTTAAACTTTAAATTTCTTGAAAATTCAATTTTAAATAAGCAATCAGCTCAGGGTTTCTATGCAACATAAAAACATGTACAGTATAACCTCAATTATCCGGACCCCTTTGTCCATCAGGGTGGTCCGGATGGGTCCGGATAAGTGAAAAGTCCGGATAATTAAAATGACCTTTAAAACCTTGATTTACTTACTCCAAAGAAAAGCTAGAGCCTTAATCAGCCATAAGGAGGCTAAATCCAAGCCTTGTTACTAGTAGAAAGCCATTAATCAGCAGCATTACAGTGCTAAACAAGCTACTCCATGTAGAAAGCAGCCATTTTATAATACCATATACTCTAATTAAGTGAATTTAAAGCACCACATGGTCACTTCCGGTCATGATTTCAGAGTCCAGATAATCGAGGATCCGGATAATCGAGGTCTGGATAATCAAGGTTATACTGTATATGCTTTAGAAAAAATTATTAAAATGTAAAATTCTTTCCTTTTCATTTTTGGCGAAATTTGGCCACACATGGTCTCTGACCAGATATTTTGAGCAACTTATAAAAATCCAATTTTTAACGGAATCGCTTAAAAGTTTGTGAGCAACATAAGTTTAAGTACAATGTACATGCACAGGTATATACATGTACATCAGAAAATGTAAAGAATTTGAACTACAATGTACTATAGCAGCCAATAAGATTTAATTGAAACTGGTTGTGTATATCATGAGGCCATTCTTAGGCTAATATAATTTACATGTCTCATTGTCCATTTTCAGTATACAGTTAACCAGCCGTGGTCACATTCAGTCTCCATATCTTAGACTCTCCTATCAGCCTATACCTTCCAATGATGCACAAGTTAGCTCACTTCGATTTCTATTATATTTTATCATAATTAATATTCAATTAATATTAATTTTAATCTTTTCTTAACATTAACCTTCATTTAATATTAATCTTCCTTTAATATTAATTTCCTTAGGCTTCATTTGTTGTTAGATACAGTGGAGGAAATAATGCTTTCAATATTGCTTTATTAGTAAGTGCATAAATTCATCCTCTTCTTTTATGTGCATATGTACATGTCTATTCTCTCTTCTTGACAGGTAATAGCTAGTGTGTTTGTTATTCTAGCTGCAGTCTATGCTGGCTTAAAAGTAAACGGGTTTATGAGGAGGAGTGGTAACAATTGCTGTGAATTCCA